TCCTTAGGGTGTAACGGTGATATAATAATACGATTTTCTAAATCGGATAAAAATTATGACCGCTATAAGGTCCACAAGCTAAAATCGTGATTTTCCGTACAATCAGGGGCCATAATTCAGGAAGTTACGGTCCGATATGTGCGAATATCGAAAGGAACTGAGATCTTTAGGTTATAAACTTACATTTCAAGTTTCAACAAAATTGGATAAAAATTGTGACCTATATAGGGTCCACAACCTTGAAATACCCAATTTTTACGCTATTTGAGAACGAAGGGCCGCCATTTTGTCTGTCAATTTTGGGCCGATTTTCACGAAATTCAAGCTCAGTCGTCCTTAGGGTGTAACGGTGATATAATAATACGTTTTTTTAAATCGGATAAAAATTATGACCTCTACAGGGTCCACAAGCTAATAACGCGATTTTTCGTACAATCACGGGCCATAATTCAGGAAGTTACGGTCCGATATGCGCAAATATCGAAAGGAACCGAGATCTTTGGGTAATAAACTTACATTTCAAGTTTCAACAAAATCAGATAAAAATTGTCTATCAATTTTGGGCCGATTTTCACGAAATTCAAACTCAGTCGTCCTTATGGTGTAACGGGGATATAAATATACGTTTTTTTAAATCGGATAAAAATTATGACCTCTATAGGGTCCACAAGCTAAAAACACGATTTTTCGTACAATCAGGGGCCATAATTCAGGAAGTTACGGTCCGATATGCGCAAATATTGAAAGGAACCGAGATCTTTGGGTTATAACCTTGCGTTTCAACAAAATCGGATAAAAATTGTGACCTCTATAGGGTCCACAACCTTGATATACCATATTTTTACGCTATTTGAGAACGAACGGCGGCCATTTTGTCTGTCAATTTTAGGTCGATTTTCACGAAATTCGAACTCAGTCGTCCTTGTAGTGGAACGGTGATATAATAATACGGTTTTTTAAATCGGATAAAAATTATGACCTCTATAGGGTCCACAAGCTAAAAACGCGATTTTTCGTACAATCAGGGGCCATAATTCAGGAAGTTACGGGCCGATATGCGCGAATATCGAAAGGAACCGAGATCTTTGGGTTATAAACTTACATTTCAAGATTCAACAAAATTGGATAAAAATTGTGACCTCTATAGGGTCCACAAGCCAAAAACGTGATTTTTCGTACAAACAGGGGCCCATAATCCATGAAGTTTCGATCCGATACATGCCAATATCGAAAGAAGCCGAGATCTTTTGGAGATACACCTGTATTTCAAGTTTCGTTAAAATCAGATAAGAATTGTGACCCGTAGAGTGTCCACAAACAAATTGTGGACGGACGGACAGGGGCGACGGCATAATACGTCCACTAGAAAATGTAGGCGTATAAAAATGATAAGTTCTCGGGGGAACAAAAAATACTTCACTAATTTACCTTGCTTTGATCTCACAAAAACATATGGAACATTCTGAAAAACAAAAAGTAGTATAACCAGTACTTTCCTTTAGAAACATTTTTCACTGTTAAAACTGACCTCAATTAGATTCAAAGTCAGTTGTAACTGTGTAGCAGACAAATGATTAGTTTCCAAACACCCATAACAAATGAAATGGGGTTTAACGGCCCACTGTTCTGCACTGACTAGGCTAATGAAGATGGGAATACACCATAGGGTGTGCTATGAGGGAATTTTGCTCAGTTAGCGGGACTACAGCCTAATCGTATATCGAATTCCAACTGTCAAGGGTTCTTTTACATGCAAGCCAATGTGTACATAGAACCTCGTTTTTTGTCAGTTCCAAATGACTAAACATTGTCATTTGTCAGGCCCTCCACTGACAAGGAGAAACCACACCAGAAAATCCTGATGAACTTTCTCAGCCAACACTGGCATCTAACATAATATGATCTCCAGGTTAGCAACCCAACATCTTACTCATTGAGCCAATGTGGCTCCACACACACAGACACACGACAATCTAAAGAACCATTAAGTTTAAAGGGGAATATGTAAGATTTAAATAAAGAGCTGGCTATTCTCGCTATAATATTTTTAAAATAGATAATGCACTGGTCATTATATGACCGAAGCGTTCTTATCTACTTAAAATCGGAGCCATCCAATGGCATCAAGAGTTGATAATGGTCTTGTCATGTTAATAAATGTTTAATTAATAATTTACACATCATTTAAGGCCCAAAGGAAGACCTGAAATACCGGTAGACAGACTTAACTTACATAATGCCTGTTTAATATTTACCTTATCCTCACAGAGAAGAGGTAGATGAAGTAAAATTTCTAGTGGTGTGGCATCGGCTGACATTACAATAAATTCAGCAATACCACGGTTCAATGTCTTAGTTGCTGAAATAATGACATACATGAAAGATTAAGACAACAAAAATCGCAATACAAACGTAGTAGCTAAAATGATAAAAAAAACCAAAAAAAGCTGCAGGACAAGTCCCTTTTGTATAAGTAGGCTGCGAGCTGGATTCGAAAACTGATCACAAGAGAATTTGGTAGAGATAAGTACAGGTTACGACTTTACTTGTGTACAACTTCCCTAACGTTATGAGGTGTCTTGTATTCAAAGAAATATATATACATTGTATTTGTTTACAATGACTTCTTATGAGGACAAGAGTCTAACATTTTTCCCAAAATTAGTGTTAATAAAATAGTAAGTATATGTTGCAGTCAGTGATATTTACCTTCATTGGCTCCTTTCTTGATTTGTTTGTAGTTTGTGGCCTGTTGAACCAAATCCAAAATATTCTGGGTCAACTGGGGTTCAGCCAATGGATAGGCTTTAGGGTTTACTTCTTCTGCCTGTAAAATAGAAACAGATTTAAACATCACATAATGATGATGAGTAATTTGCATTTTTCGGAAATATCCATTTCCTCACCAGTAAATCCACCCTAATATGTACTCCAACAGAAAACAAAATCAAGACACAATGCTAAATAATATCCCGACCTGGATTCAATCAGATTAAAAACAGGCCCATCAATTTGGTTCACAGCAAATAAAAATTAACATATATGTATGGTTCAATTTTATTTCAATGATTCAATTGCGCATACTGGTCTTTAGCAGTGGGAGGGAAAATCTTGAGGTTGGCAGGCAACCCCACTTCATGTCAACGAAAAAATACTACTTAACTATGATTGAATGGTCTAATGTGTGCATTGTGTGCACTTTAGATCACAAGTTATAATTTATTAAAGCACACACATTAGATCATGCAGCTACGGTAGCACAACATTTTTGGTCCTGGGACCTTTCGAATTCCACAAAAATGGTGATTCAGACCTTTTGAACTTAATTAATGTCATCTACCCAAGTCTGAAACGTCAAGGCATATTTTCATTGAGGTCGAAATGTAGGGAGTCTGAAATATCACGTGACAGAAATCCTTGATTCCCAATGGTATCTACTGGAGTCCTAACTGTCATCTACATTTGTCTAAAAAATGGCATCTTATCCAAGTCTGAAAAGTCATCTACACAAGTCCAAAACGTGAAATGTTGAGGTACTTAAATGTCATGTAGCCTGGACCCCCCCCCCCCACACACACACACACACACACACACACGACAGGTGAGGGGTAAATGTTATTATGTTAGGGTGCCCCACCATAAATAAATATCTCTAATTATTTTAACAATTACACCACATATGTTTATAAATAACAAGCCTTAACCTAATTTCTCACATGTATAGTCCCTAATCGTATAGATCATAACAAAGCAAATTTAAAAAATACACAAGGAATGTAATTTTCTAAAGCTCTTATACTACTGTAACAACGAAACAGCTAAATACTACTGTTATTCAGAATTGTTAACAATAGATTTCTTACGGCTTTAATAGTTGATAGATGTGTTGAAAATTTCATGTGAGACCCCCTAATTATGTATTATTAATATACAAAGTAGTCTGATATGAATAAACTGTACTTTTGACAGTTTTAGACCTCTAGTCCTTTTCATAAGATATCACAAGACTATACACAGGAATAAAAAACTTGTTCTAATTCTATCCTATATAATATGCTAGTAATGTGATTGCCGAGCTCCTGAGGAGTAATTATCAGTCATTGTTTTTTGTATTTCAGGAGAGCCAAAAAAAAAAGCTCCCCTCAATCAACAAATTGAGAAAAAAAAAGCTCTCCCAGTTTCGATAAGAAGAATGATTTAGAAATTAAGGAGAGTGAATTAGAAATTAAGGAAAGTAATCTGATATTAAGGAGAGTGATTAGTTGTGTATATATATATATGGGAAATGGTTCTGAAGATCAATTACTGTATGTAATGGGGTCATTCCTGGTTTGATAAATGATAATAAACCCCCAATGACTTTGTAAAGGAGAGCGATTTTCAATTATAAGAGGGAAAAATAAAATCCACTCAGTCGACATTCAGGTGAGCGGCAGGTGACTGAATTATCCTGTCCCATAATATCGATCATCAATACCAAAAATAAGTAAAAAACACTTAGGCGCACTAAGGGACAGAGTCAAGCTAATAGTTTACTGCTATTAATAGTATTAAGTATTAATCTATCGATTCTACGTTTTCATTATCTTAGCTCATTCGCTGGGTTCTAAACCACGACCGCAAGCCAGAGGTGACCGACCAGCTAGAGCTCGATGCGCGACACTCTAGACCACTAGGCCATCCCGACTCCCCTTGAAAGTTGATGTGACTCTGTAGTCTGTGACTGATTTGGTATTCTTAAAAATTATAGTACCGTGATACACATTTGCGCCCATTTCCTTTAACGAACACCGAAGCCTTCGTTAGGAATAAAACTTACCATTACTTATTATTAATTGAAGCAAATGTGGGTTTGATAAAAACTTGATTTATTTAACCTCTCTGCGAAAGTTCGCTTCACTGAGGAAAATTGAACAGCACGTGTTTACAAAAACGCTTTCCCTTCGTCTAGCCGGAAGTTATTTTCTGATTTTAACAGCCAATCAGATCGGTGTATTTTCTTTACAGCAGACCTTAAAATGTTTACATCCGGTTATGATGGCTGGCTAGCAGACAATATTTTAGAGGGAGTTGATATTTTTGATTCATAAAGTACACTTCAGTGATCAGATATTAGAAATGAGTGCAGTTACGGAACCAGTGATTTTAGCAACAGCTGGATATGACCATACTATCAGATTTTGGCAGGCCCACACAGGTCTTTGTTACAGAACAGTGCAACATCCAGATTCTGTATCTTTTTTTGCTTTCTGCAATAATAGCCATAGGCCTATTAATATTGGCAAATTGCAAATTATAAAATAATAAATTTATATAAAATAAGTAGATAATCTATAAATTAAATAGGCATTATTACCCTCACCAAGAATATTAATGTAATATATTATCAAAAATACAAACACTGACCAACTTAGACTAAGATATTTTTCAGAAGGCAGTGCCCAGTGGCTATTATTATTGACATTGTTAATTTGTTATGATGAGTCGTAAAAATAGTCCTCAGACTATTGTTACAACGATGCTTTCAGAGCCCTTCATCGGCGAAGTTAAAAACTGAATAGTCGTAAAAATAGTCCTGTGGTTATTGTTACGACCATCGATTTCTTTTATATTACTCCTCTGAATCAATGGATTTTAACTTCACTATAGGACAGGCCCGGATCCAGGGGGCCATGCCCGGATCCAGGGGGCCATGCCCCCCCCCCCCCCCGTCAGCCCACACCACTAATGCAAACCACTAATGCATGTGGCACTCTGATGATTACCCTGTCCTCATTTCGGGCATCAGACCAGTCATTAACAACAACAGTACAATCAATTCATAAAAACTCAAAAATATTTCCTTACTGACAAAGACCTCAAGGTTCGATATTATGCCTTCACACTATACTACAAGAATAGCTGACATATGCTCCCGGTGTTGGCCGAGAAAGTCCATCGGGATTTTCCGGCATGGTTTCCCCTTGTCAGTGGTGTTGGACAGAGAGACTGACAAGGACAGCTGTGTAGTCGTTCAGATGGTGCGAAAAACCAAGGTCCCATGTACATTGGCGTGCATGTAAAAGATCCCTTTGCAGTTGGAATTCGCTATAAAAGAGTAGGCCTTAGTGCCACTGTCCAAGCAAAATTTCCCTCATAACACACTATAAGGCGTATTGCCTGTCTTCATTAGCCTAGTTGGACCAGAACAGTAGGATGTTAAACCCCATTTCAATTCATTTCAGCTGACATATGAAGTAGGCATGGCCTAGAAACATGCTCTCACACAACCTCAATCAAAAAACAGGAAATCCTAAAAAAGTACTAGAGTAGAACATTAATACATGTAGTTGCTTTGTTACAGAGAATAGAATAGCATGCTTAAACACTTCACTATTGCCTTCTTTTGTTCATTTTTCTGTAACTGTTTTTCCTGAATCATTACAATGATTGGAGCTTTGTATAAATATTGACATACCAGGTGAACGGGGAAAAAAAACATTATATTTAATAGGTTTTGGCATCATTTGTCTTAAAAGCTGAATTAAGAATAGATTTAAAGATTTTGAAGTATAGCAGATTGGGTGTTATTTGGAGTAAGGCTTACAAGACTCTAATTACTCTAATGAGAACACCTCTAACCTTTGATTTATCTTTAACTCAAAATACAGCAAGTCAATGCTTTAGAAATTACCCCAGATAAAAAGAGAATAGCAGCAGCAGGTAAGTCAACTGGGAAAATGAGCTGGTAAACTTTTGAACATTGTTTAACTCCTTCAATTGCTCTCTGTTATTGATAAGTCCAATAATCTGACGGTTACTGCTAGATGACCAATAGCCACTTATTGAATTTACAATGTATGTAATAATAGGAGAGAAAGTTTAATTGTTTTTGTGTCTGTGTTTTGCTGTGTACTTTAACTGTTATTAAGTTATACAAAGTCAAAGATAGTATCATCCGGGGTTTATGGACCAACTTATGGTCCAACCTTCGACGATGGGTTGTATGTTCAATCTATTTGGGGGTGTACGATTGAACATACAATAATTCAATAACTCACTTCTCTTAGTATAATCTTATATTCTGTAACAATATTTAACAATGATAATATATGTATATAATACTGACACACAGGCTAAGTAACTTAATAAGGAACAGCATCTAAGAAATAACTTATCAGAGACCTGCCCTTCAGTCTGTCCCTTGCCTGCCTGTGGGGTTCTCCGTATGATCTACAATCTTTCCTCTAATATACTAGAGGTTACTTGGTAACAATAAACAATACATAGTAATTATATATATTTAAACTTAAGAATATTTTATAGTTGTTAATGGGTAGTATTTAAGTGACATCCATTCATTCATTTACTAAGTTGACTAATGTTTATAGATGGATTATCTCATTACTACTATTGTCTCTAATCTCTATCATAGCTGACCATTGATAACTTACTATAGATAATCCATCTTGGGAGCCAAGTTGTGGTGTAAGTCTAGCCCTGTATTGGGTGAATGGCTGTATTAAATACTACCTGGTCATAATAGTGACACCACATCAATCAGTATGGGATATCATCTTAATAATAACCTATGAAATTCTCCCGATCTATTATAAGACTTCTATGAAAATATATATTGTCCCATCTAAATTTGAGATGACTTTTCAAGCACTTCATACTAAAGGTGCGTTCACACTGGGGGTTTAGTCTTATTCCGGATTTAGGCATCACACTCAATTCACTAAAACCCAAACTCAATCTGAAATAACGAATCCGTATATTTTTCCGAATTCAATCTGGAACAACTTTTTCAGATCGAGCTATTCGCAGTCAAAATTTGAGCATGGCTCACTTGATTCAGATCAACGGGTTTACCGGAACCGAATAACTTTGCGCGTATGTTCACTTCTACCTCCATTTTATCGCTTGGAGGGAAACGTGTATCTTCCGGGCCAATAGTCTGCAAATAGATAAAAGTTATATTGCAAACATAAATTAGTTGGTGTATAGCCTACATAGCTGTAGACCTACCTCACTGATGTCTACGGTAATATAACCAGTTAAAAATTCAAAGATATGGTGTGTTCAGATCACGGACGTTCATTTAAGGCCTAGTCTCTAGCATGTATTGTATGTAGTTCGATTACAATGACAACAAAATTCATTGCTTTGCATTGTGCATGTTAAGTGCCGAAAGGATTTGAATTATGAAATGTATCTTCGCTAGTATAGAGTCAAGAGTAAAGTGCATGTAATACTTGTTGATGCCTAGGAAACGTGACCAGAAGAGTAATCACCCTCATTCGTTTTTGATTCTGGTGCACAGCGCTTAATGGCAATATGTCGAAGATACAAGACCCAAAGATACAAGATAGCAACAGAAGATAACGAATACGAATGACGAGCGTATCCATCTTGCATATGAATGATCTTCACTTCTGCTAGTTATGCGCATTCAGTTTGGCACGTTTTAATTTGAATTCAATACGAATAAGGTGTAATGTGACGCACCGTTTTTAATCCGAGACAAACCATTCCAGAGGTCCCTCTCCGAAATTCGCATAGAGTAAGAGAAATTGTGTTTTAATGTCCACTTATCACAAACTAGGTCATGGTATATATTTATTTAAAGAATTCACTTAAGTGTAGGGGTCTTTAGTTGTAAGAGGAAAAAGGAGTAAACACACAAAATTAGGCAGGCGAAACTACACCTTGTCACTTACAATTAAATGATCAAAACCAAAATACATGACCCAATGACAGACGTTTTGGATATAAAACGTACATGTTAGACCACTCAGCTTCTCAACCACCCTACATGTTTCACTTACCTACAACATATTCTGTACAGTCTGTGAGTATTAGTTACCACATAGACATGGAAGCAGTGTCGTAATTCATTTCAAACCAACAGAACTTTCTTTATTTTCAGGTTATATGCATATAAGAATTTATGATATAAATTCCAATAACCCTAATGCTATAATAAATTATGATGGTTTGTCTAAGAATGTTGTTGAAGTTGGATTTCATGATGAAGGAAACTGGATGTTCACTGGAGGAGAAGATTGTACAGCTAGAATATGGGATTTAAGGTAGGAAATTATATTTAATAGGCAAGTCACACTTGAACTGGATTTTTTACAAATAAAAGGTGAAACTTGTCGAGAAATTATTTTATGCAGGCTTATTATAAATATATAAATCTGTTGTCTGTCATATATTATTGTTATGCATTAAAGCTTAAAGATATAGGTCCTCAAAGTAATACATGTACAGACATCACTTATGTAGCAATAGACAAAGGGTGTTTGTAGCATATGCATATAAGAATAGCTATTTACTACACAGCTTCACTTACCAAGGAGGAACATTCTTCTACCACTACCAAAGTTGGAATTGACATTTAAGGATTTCTTACTTATTCTATTTATTGTGAGCTTACAAATGACTTTCAATCAATAATTTTATTTTTCTAGGTCATAAGAAATATACTTTTAGTTAACAATAAGTTTTGAAGTTGCACTAGATGACATAACTAACCTTGAGAGAACTTACTTTAATTGTTGACAGACATATTTGGTTGAAAACTGTAAAAATTCAAGTGGCGATTCTTACCGGTAATTAAGAGAGACTAGCCTGTTACTGTTACTCTGTTTGTTTTTTTATTTAAGAGTAAGGAATTTGGAATGTTCCAGTATTTTATTTTTTGTATTTAAGAGCAAGAAATTTACAATGTTCCAGAATATTTCAAGTTCATGCTCCAGTCACTTGTGTGTTTCTACACCCAAATCAGGTATGTCACATAACATTGACTGATTTCAAATGTCATTCAATTCCAACACTGTATAATACATTACCCTAAATACATGTTATAGTGAACCAGTTACAGTAGTTACAGAGCATTCTAAATTAAGCACTTGATTTGCATCAAATACTACCAATTTCGGTACTTGGTATGGTATGTCATCAAGTAATATATTCAATTCTTATATTGTGTAAATTTTAAAATATTTATTTAAAAAATGTATGCAATGATAAAGCCAATCATCATTTCATTTTTATACTTTCTGTTTAACAGGCTGAACTGTTTGTTGGTGATCAAGGAGGATCTATTCACATTTGGGATTTAAAAACAGATAAAAATGAACGGCTTGTAAGTAGTTACTTAAATAAAAAAGTTTAGCAAACAGATTTATACACTACAGCTAACATTGAAGAGATCAAGGAGCTATGCTTTGATCTAATTTTATAATCAGTAAATTCATTGTTTGGATCATGGATGGATATGTTATGATAAACTTGTTTGTATAGAAAATGAATATAGGCCTATTTAATAAAATTTCTTTGCAGAAATGAAAATTAAGCATAATTTACCTGATATATAATACATGTAAATCAATTACCGTGTAAATGAACTAGGTATTAATGGTTTAACCAGGTTAATGAAGACCGACATGTATTTTAATCCATTCTAGGTACCTGAAGGTACTGCAGCTATACAATCTATAACAATTGATCCAATGGGAACAATGATGGCTGCTGTTAATATTAAAGTAAGTTAAAGTTGAATATATCTCCTGTACATATTATTGGGAAGGAGAATATCATCCATACTTTGCAACGAATGATGGCATTGATGAAATTGGAGCCTTTTTCTCATCAAACCATTCACCTTTTTGTAGCCTGGAAATTTCTTCATCATATAGGATGGTTTAATATACGATTTAATTGATTCTTTATGGGGTTTTTTTATGAGTGAACAAATTTCAAATTGTAGGCAACAACCAAATCAATTCGACCAAACCCATGAACACTGTTTAAACTTTTAAGTAAAAATTTAGAAACAAAGTCTCTTAACACTATAAATTTACTTGTTATAATAATAGACATTCATATGAGAAAGTCGATGGATTTCACCCTTACGCCCTTTTGCAATATTTGTACTTTTAAAAAAGCACTGATATGAGAATACACCGCTACACAGACATTAGAAATTACAAACAATAAACAACAAATGAATGATAAACTTTAATAGTGATTGTAATTTGTATATTAAAGATACATTATGAGAGATTCGATAACGAGTTGGCAGTTCTCACTATAATAGTTAAAAACTAGATAATGTAAAGGCAATTTTTTGAAAATTTCATTCAAATTGATCCACTATGAACCGAGAACTAAGCGATTGAAATTTCCGCCTAGCCTCGATCATCATTACTAAAGTCAGTACGATAAACAGCATAGTCTCGATTATCCATTTAATCGTTAAATCGTGAAGGAAAGTTATGCAGTAAATCGGCTCATAATCCACTAAAGATCGCAGGCTAGCGATGCCATGTAGAGTTGATTATGGTCTGGATAGGTTAATTAATGTCTAATTAATAATTTAGATAACATTTCCGGCCTAAAGAAAGACCTGCAATAGACAGATTTAGCTCTTGCATAATGTATGTTTAATTATATTGTTTTGTTTTTTTGACAGGGATTGTATCTTGTATTATAGTTGTATATTATATTTTGTTTTTTTTGACAGGGTAATTGTTTTATATGGACATTAACAGGTGGTAAAGGTGATAAACCAACAGAACTTCATCCTAAAAATCATTTTAAAGCTCATGATAAATACATATTGAAATGTCTCTTTAGTCCAGATTCCACGTACGTATCTCTTTATATTTGCTTTTTAACTCACAATCTTATAATATTTTCTGAAGAGAGCTCAGGTCACTGGATATAATTTGTTACAAAAACATAGATAAGATTCCTTGACACTTTACACAGAAACACCAATCTACAGACAAGATTCGTTGAAAAATAAATGTTTACACATCAGAAAGTAAAATTACCACATTAACAAAATTAAATCCAAAGCTTATCAAGTGAATTATTTTTTTCTCAGGTTATTAGCTACAACTTCAGCTGATGGTAGTTGTATAATTTGGAGAACAACAGATTTAACTCAGTTAACAGAATTACGAGAAAAAACACAGAGATGGGTGTGGGATTGTGCATTTAGTGATGATTCAGAATATATAATAACTGGTAAGATATATTATAGTTTTTATACCACCCAATATGTTTGATGGTCATCAACTATTTCTTTTGAACCCTTTAGAAACATTTTTTATCATCCGTTCCTAATATAGTCTATACGTTAGTGAGGCAAAGAAGCCCGTTAAATTTCAGTGATTTCTGGTAATTACTTCCAAAGTAATTCTTCTTGATCACTTTGAATAATATAATTGATATTTGATAACTGATCTATAATTACTGCCTGCATTACAAAAATTAATTTCTTATACTCTTAAATGAATTAGATCCACTTCCAAATTCTTAGAATCGCAAAGGCTTGCTTCACTCACTCGTCTGTATTTGTCTGTGCGAAAAGGCAGCTATTTCTTATAATCGGTGTTTTCTGTTGCCTCATACTCCTTTATAAAATGTGTTATGAATATATAAATTATACTATTCAAAAAAAGTAGGGGATATTTGATTTTTAAGTGTTATTAAAGTCACAAAATGAAACTGACGAAGAAACAAATGACAAAATGAAATGAAGTTCACATTCATCGATTTATTCCAAATGATCATTAGACTAAGTAAGGCACAGACTGACCATGATAAGGGTAAAATGATACCCGGGGTCAAACAGCAAAGTTACCACAGCATCACAACCAAGTCAGTAACGGGTAAATCCTCCTCTGTTTGCCAAACAAGCATTGATCCGACGTGGCATACTCCTAATGAGACGTCTAAGGTCATTTTGGTCCAGATTGTCCCATTCCTGTTGCAACGCAGCAGCAAGTTCTTGGACATTGGCAGGACGTTGTTGACGTTGACGTAACCTCTGTCCAAGCATGTCCCAGACATGCTCGATGGGGGAGAGGTCGGGACTCAGTGCTGGCCAAGGTAATGTGGTGATGTTCTGTTGTTGGAGGTAACCTGTAACGATCCTGGCCCTGTGACATCTTGCGTTGTCATCCTGGAAGATGAAACGGCGGCCATGACGTCGTGCGAACGGCACAACATGGACTGCCAAGATGTTGTCCCGGTAGTACTGGCCTGTAACACGCCCTGCAACAACATGTAAAGCCGTTCTTCCAGCAACAGTGATGCCTCCCCACACCATAACAGAACCACCCCCAAATCGATCATGTCTGATGACGTTAACGTCTTGGAAGCGCTCGTTTCGACGACGCCACACCCTCCTACGTCTGTCCAAAAAATCAACAGTGAACCTTGACTCATCTGAAAACATCACATTGCTCCAGCGTCGATTATCCCAGTGTTGACGATCCCTACACCAACGACGTCTTGCCTGAATGTGATGATCTCTCAAACAAGGGATCACGCGAGGACGTCGGGCGCGAAGGTGACCCCTATGCAGTCGATTCCGAATCGTCTGGCCACTCACTCTCACACCAGTGTCTGTTTGAAGACGAGCGCTGATCTGATTTGCTGTGATGACACGATTTCTCAAGGCCAAGGTACGGATAAATCGATCCTGGGCTTGAGTTGTCGCCCTTGGTCGACCTGAGCGTGGTCTGTCCTGTACAGATTGTGTATCACGGTATCTGGACCATAGCCTGCTTATGACAGACTGAGAAACATTCATCGTCCGCGCCACAACCGCCTGTGTTGTGCAGATCTGTAGCATGCCAAGGGCACGTAACCTTTCATTTTGGGTAAGCCGACGCATATCAAAATTTGTTTTCTGGTCACTAAAACAATTAAACTGATGTTTCCACCCTGGAATTCAATGCCACAATGACTGTAACATTCAAAGTCAGAGTCGTGCAAATCTTGGGTTGGACCCCCATGATGATCCCAAGCATCACCTGCATTCCATGCGGTAGCTATTGGTGCGTTTGGGCGTCACATGTAACTGGAAATGTTTCTTCTGTTAGGTTCTATAGTGACTTTTTTCGTAGTCATTTGCATATTTTAGTATTATGCCCCCAAAATCAAATATCCCCTACTTTTTTTGAATAGTATATAATGAATCAGCATATAATGTTATATAATGAATATTACTCTAAAATATTTAATCAATATGTGTATAAACTATTTAATCAATATCAGTATACTATAAACTGTTTAATGAAATGAAATGGGGTTTAGCGCCCTACTGTTCCGCTCCTACACCATACAGTGTGCTATGAGGGAAATTTTGCCCAGGCGGGGCACTATGACCCACTCTTATATCGAATTCCAGCTGCCAAGGGACCTTTTATGTGCACGCCAATGTATACATGGGGCCTCGGTTTTTCGTCCCATCCAAACGATTAGACAGCTGTCCTTGTCAGGCCTCTGTCCTGCACCACTGACAAGGGGAAACCAAGTCAGAAAATCTTGATGAACGGTCTCACCTAATTCAGGGATCAAACGCACGACTTTAGGCTAGCGAGCCAGCATCTTACCCACTTAGCCACCATGGCTCTCCTGTTTAATCAATATCTGTATAAAATGCCTATTGAATATCCGTATAAGATGTTTAATGAATATCAGTATAAGATGTTTAATGAATATCAGTATAAGATGTTTAATGAATATCAGTATAAAATGATTAATGAATATCAGTATAAACTGTATAATGAATATCAGTATAAACTGTATAATGAATATCAGTATAAACTGTATAATGAATATCAGCATAAACTGTATAATGAATACCCTGATAAATGTTACTGCATAATCATGCATTCCTATACACAATTTGATGTTTAAATCATTTAGTCCAAGTAGTGAATCTTTCACAAAATACCCCCCTCCCACCCCACATTAGATTTTTGGTAAGTTTTGTCTGAGAACCAGAATATTTTGTTTGTATGGCCTAAAATTGAGAATTATTGTTTCTATTTCAGCTTCATCAGATAACATGGCTAGATTATGGAATGTAGATACTGGAAAAGTAAAAAGAGAATATAGTGGTCATCAGAAAGCTGTTGTCTGTTTAGCATTTAGAGATGAAATTATTTCCTAGCATATATATTATATTATTGTTGTTATCTTGTATATTTTGTGTAAATAAACTATTTGATGTATATCATATTTTCAATAATGTTTTGGTGCAGAATCCCAAAGTTATATTTGAAAGTAGTTTTATAGAACAAAAACCCCAAATCTAAAGGTTGAAAATGTAGTAATTCTTCGAAATTATGAAAGCTCTACCTCCAAAAATAAGTCCACTATTCTTGGTATTTGTGTAGGGTATCTGGAAAAATTCTAGATGAAAACATATACTGGGATATCCTAGCTCAACTTACTTGGTGAGTAAGACTTTTCCAGCCTGGTGCCCTGTGCCATCTAATGGTTCAGATGTGATGAAAAACCAGTGTGCACAAGAGAGAAATGGGGTTTAACGTCAACTCGACACAAACTAGGTCATTTCGGGACTAACACATGGTTCAATTTTATTTCTATAATTTGCTTGCACGTAGGGGTCTTTAGCAGTGGGAGCACCCGGAGAAAACCCACGAGGTTGCACATAAAAGAAGTCTTGACAGATGGAATTCTAAGAAGAGTAGATGGAAATACTGTTGTTCAGGCAAACTGTCCTTTATAGGCTACTGCCTGTCTTCATTAGCAAGAAAAGTAGAACATGAAATCTATGTTATTTCAATCACTTGGGCCCAAAAAAGGATCTATATTGGAAGCTTTGTCAAAATATATATTTGAATATTGAAAATTTCTTATATATAGATTGAAACGGTTTACCGGGAAAGAATATATGTAGTTAATAATAGACTTTTAAATAACGGACATAGTACTATCAACCTACCTTATAGTCAATAAATAAGTGGCTCGCTTAAAAACTAACCAAAAAAAAACAGACCAGGAGTCCACCTTCAACCTTTGGAAGAAAACCGCCCTCATAGATAAAAAAAACAACCAAATTTTGTTTATTATGAATGAAAAGATTATAAGAGCCTGCTTCGTTTTACTGTTGTTTCTTCTATCTCTAACTTTTTCACGATGAAGTAAGACTGTACCCTTTGCGCAGTGATGGGATTTACCATCCAGATCTGGTTAGAATTATGCCGTTCTTTCATTCGTTACTATGAAAACCATCCCCTTTTACTGGCTTGAATCGGCAGGTCAAGTCGTCAATAAGTTACTCGTTTGAGATGTCAACCATTCTTTATTACAGTACCCATCACTCCCATCTGTCATTAGTCTATCATAATTTACTTGTTGCCCGAAAATGGTGTTTTATGTAAAAACATCTTATTGGTGGAAGATTTGATTTCTGCTCACTCAAGCCATTCTATGAAAAAAAAATAATGAAATAAACCGAACAAATTTGTACAGTATTACAATATAACTAGTATTTCCGAAAACTGGGGGCTAGTCTAAAGTTGGAAGTGACTCAGTAATCATTTATGTATGCCAACTCCATTCTCACACCCGTACCTCGCGATCCACAGAAGTGCATTAAAGTACGTAGTCGTTATAGATTTGCAGATGAACTAGACTGTTCCCCAAAACGTTTTATTCTTTGTTATTGAAAGTGGCCTTCGTTCATACTTATAGAAAAAGTCAGTTCAAAACAGTTTCCATTAGCACCATTGGTGCGAAAAAAAAGGTAGGGCGTTAAACCCAATTCTTTTGTGTGATGTATTTTTAATTTCTTTAATACTCTTTTAATTTTCCGACAAGTGGGAACAATGTGAGGCCACGATATTTAAACCAATCAGAAGCCTATACCTATTGCGTTTTCCAAGGAATCAGAATATAAACTAATAAAAATATATTTTTGAACTTTCATAAAAAATAAACACTTTGATTTTCTTTGCAATAATGAACAGGGCTTTTCAGCTACAGCTGTTAGTTTTAATATATAGCTTGCAAAAGAATATCATTTTATTTCGTTCATACTTCTTTATTCTCCAAAGCTAATTTTACAGATGTTTTATTCAAGTGCTAGGTAGGATTACGTCAGTACAACATGATTGCGTCACCATCTAAATATTTATCGCATGTATCCTTATGAACACCAGGTATTGCATTTATTATTGATCAAAACACAGCACGCTTGGATACCACTTTACCTTTTGATTGGCGCGAAAAGAGTTATGTACCTTTACTATTGATATCTATTGCGCCCACTATTTACAATCATGTGTATACTTAGTAACCAAAAATACAGTACGGTCTATTTTAATGGATATACTTTACAACAACTGGCAATGAAGCGTGTAGAACGTCTTTAGAGGTATGTTCAACTAGTTTTAATATAGTCATTCTCATATTGATTGGCAAAATCACGAAAAATATCGATCACTGTTTAAAAAAAAGTACTCTTAAAGAAAAAAAAATTGTTAAATTAAATAGCGTTATAACTTTAATTTTAAAACCATTCAGGATTAAATTTGTCATAAATTTTTTTAAATTATCTATCCTCGTTTAAGGGACAGAAAGACATCTTCTTTATGGGATGAATGTTTAGTAAAATTGGAAGTCTTTCTAATTGTTTCTAAAATATCTAAAACGTTCGGATGTTTGTTCTATTAAAATATTCAACGGAAGCGATTAGTTCCATTCAGATATTCTAATTTCTGGATGATTTTTCTCCAGCTACGGGGGTACGTGTTTGTTGTGTTTGTTTAAAACCGGTTAAATGGCATAGCAATATTAATTGCAAATGAGAAGAAAGAAGGAATTAAATAAAGCAGCTTATGTACATTTTGTCTCTCAGAATTGCAATGAGTCGATCTAGTATTGCTCCTTTATTAATATATTTTAGATTCTGGGATGTCAAAAATAATAGAACATTGTTGTTAGTAATAACCTATCGATCTGACTCTGAGGAAACACATCATAATTATATTGAACGACCTTAGTTGAACCCAATAGAGATTTATAATCCACGCTAAAATCATACGATGGGATTAACGGATTAAAAGCCTAGTTTAGAGCGCTTAATGCGTGGTGGGTTCCGTAAGTGATTAACTAACTGTGAATTACTTTATAATCTATAAGAATTAGCGGATTGAATATATCCATGTGACAAATCCATGCCATAAAGCTTTCAGTCCTCGATTAAAGGGAGGTTTCTGACATAAACGAGTCACGTCCAAACAGGGGTGTTCCCTATTACTTAAGGGTTCAAATACGTTTGGTATGTGCTTGCATGCAACGTACTATGCAAACCAAGTAGACATGGAAATGAAACTTCCTTAATACTACATCAATACTTCCCGTAATTACATGCGATCAGTGTACGAGAAACAATAGATTAATCAGCTCGTGTCTCAGATCTCTCAATAATTAATGTAATTAATAAAGTTAGATCGTACACAACATGCACAACGTGTGACCGGGTCTTATATCCATTAAATGAACCCCTCGTTAGTAGTTGGTCTGTGTATTTTAGTTATTCTTATTATCATATAAGTTGTAAAAAACAGTATACGTTTTTCTCGGGGTATAGGTAAAATATATTAGTTTCTATATTTTTTTTTCACAATAAGAATGCTCAGAATTTATTTTTTCCTCGTCCGCATGGCATTTTTAGGGTTTTGATATTATACGTTACACACTGTAAATATCCGCAAATTTCCTTTATTGTAATTGTTCTAAACGTTTTTTGTTTTAGTGTTGTTGATAAAATTCACCTCCTTGCATTGCCACGTAACCATAGAAAAAAAATACCCATATGTTAATACATGTAGTCTGAAAATGACCGATGGATTGTGTTGACAATATACTCAACGCCACTCCATTACCTTTCAGATTGATATAATTGTTAAACTGACAATCAACATACCATTTAAAAGTTTGTTGAGTTGGTTACCTAAATAGCTTTTAAATACTTTAAAAATGTCTGATTGAATTTAAAATATTTAATGTTGAAATATATATTAATTAGGCAATATTCCCTATTTTCAGATTCGTATATATAAACTGACTTTGAAGATGACCACCAACGCCACGTGCGATGTCAGCACGTACATGTGTTCGGATGTTGGATTACTTTTACCATTAATTAATGAATATACATGGCCAATTCCTGGACGTGCCGCTATATATTTCTTCGCGTTATTGTATTCCTTTTTAGGAATATCCATAATAGCAGACATTTTCATGGGAGCCATAGAGACTATAACATCTCACGAAAAGACCATTTTTATTGCTGATATAGGGTCTGGCACCAAGGAAACCACTGTTAGGGTATGGAACGGCACCGTTGCTAATTTAACTCTTATGGCTCTGGGATCAAGTGCTCCGGAAATCTTACTTTCTGTTATAGAAATAACAGGAAACCAATTCAAAGCTGGTGCTCTTGGACCAGGAACTATTGTAGGGTCTGCTGCATTTAACTTATTGTGTATTACTGGCATTTGTTTAATGGCCATACCAGACCAAGAAACGCGGCGAATTGAAAGTATAAAAGTGTTTGCTATTACGAGCACATTTTCAGTTTTTGCTTACATTTGGTTGATAATTATTTTAGTCTTTATTTCTCCAAACTACGTAGATGTATGGGAGGCTGTTGTCACCTTCTTAATGTTTCCAGTCATGGTGATTCTAGCTTATATAGCTGATAAAGATTTTTGTGGAAAATCAAAATCTGCCGTTAGTTCTAGTGAATCTGAACTTGGATTAGGTGAGTCGAAATTCTGTTGTATTTATTAATTAATTCACGACCTAATTAGATATCTTGTCAATATGGCAAAATTAAATGATTTAAAAAAAAAGACAACAGCAGAAAAGTCAAATTGATCATTGCATATCCTATCTATGAATGGGTTTCCTTTCTGCTCTGTAATTTGTAAATCCCTGCAGATGGAAAATAAGGGCACAAGGAAAGTAACTACACCTCGAACTACATTAAATGAATTTTAACAGAAACTCTCTTTGACGACTAACAGGTTCTGTGTTTATATTATTAATCCAGGTGTATATTTACATGTAGATTGATTGCGTTTATGAGATCACCGGTGAAAGCAGTGTTAATTTATACACAAAATAAACACAACTCGTTGATTTACTGATATTTATGCTTGATATCGAAAGACTCCTGGTAGTATTGATGACGTATCTAACTTTTAGGGTCATCTAGAATGTTTTATCCCATTGGCATCACCGGCATCCATCGTTGATAGAATACAGAAACAGATGGACCATCTCCTTGAATAATCCCAATTAAACTTTGATTTCAATTAACCGTGCATACAACAGCTCAATGATAGGAAATCAAATGATAAATTATAAAAGGACTAATTTATATTATTGACATTTTGGGTGTGGTAATAATCCGTCGATAAATATACAGACACGGAAGAGTAAATAGAAAATGAACGTTCAGCGAAATGAATTTTATTGAATATATCTTGAACTAATAGCTTGTCACTAAATTATATTCACGAATAGTGCATATACGTACAGGACAAATACAAGGCAATGTTAGACCATTTAAACAGTTCAATAATGAATTATTCACCACGAACTCCACCATTCCTTACTTTCTTGAAAAATTAATCAGCAACTTATATGGACTGTGTACTCCGAGCGAGAGAGAGAGAGAGAGAGAGAGATATATATATTTAAACTGCCACGTGCATGAAACCAACCGCCACATGTTATTTTATTAGGTTTTATCAAAAGTATACAGCATCTGGGCGTTGATCCAAAGTACAATCATATTAGATTATAAATCGAACACTACTATAAAACCCTATTGCACATAATCACACTTACGTAACGTTACATAATCCGGGCCCCAAGTACCAATATACTATATTGACAATAATTGATAGTAATATCATAGTCATCGATCTTCTGTTTGTTTAAGAAAGATACTGGCACATAGAAGTTAGGGGTTAAATTTCAAACAATAATAAGACTGGGTCACGTATAAATTTTCAATAAAAGATCAATCCGTATGCTGTTTCTATGACAATCATACACGCTAATATTTAACATAGATTTAATTTACGTACAATGGGGTCATGCGGTGCATCGTCTTCGGAAATCATAGGTTGTGAGACGACCTATTTTAAACTTGGATACAGGTTCCGTTTAACTGCATGTCGCTTTATATGTATGTTTCCAGTTTATGACTATGGATATCTTGAAATTGTATGTTCAAATATGACTTGAGGATAGCGGCCTATTATACTATCGTATGGCGTCATTATTTGTCGACAGGGAGGGAGTTCCTGCAACTACCGACCCATTCCATATGCATTTCACCATCTTTATATCCAAATGATAAATCGATTGGTGTATATTTGATATATAAAACTAACGACAATAAAAATTTATCATATTTTGGGGTCAAAGTAAAAAGTCTGATTTTAAGCAAATTAATAATTTTCATATTTTCCCAGTTCAGCTTTTCTGTAAAATATAGGCCTCGACGTGTTGTTACTATTTTTATGTGCTTATTATAGTTTATTGACATCGGTAGGTAAGACAGTAACACGGTTTGTTATTATGTGTAAATATATAATAGAAATTGTTAATTTCTTCATATTATATAGAACACTTATAAATACATTCAGTAATATGACCCACTCGATCAAGAGCGGGGAACGCAACAAGCCAAACACTAAAACAAGATAACATACTAATATAAGAATAAAAGATATAGAGACATGTACACGTATTTGCAATAAGATGAGATATAATGTAACAGAAATTGCATTTGTCTGACACATCATATGGGTTATATCATCTACTATTGATACCGCAATTGTTAAAGATGCACTATGTATACTAAATCTGCCTTTAGCAGCCAATTACAGGTCTTTCTTTTGGCTTCAAATATTATTTGGACATTAATTTATTAACATGACAAGCCTATAATCAACTCTCTAAATCGTCGAATGGCCGAGATTTAAATGGATTTAAAAAATCGGCGAGATTTGAAATTTGAGCGATAAAATGGACAATCGAGGCTAAGTCTATATTGTCAAATACTGTTGCTACGATAATGAACGATCTACACTATATTTTCAAACAGTCATTACTTCGTTTAGAATACAGTAATATGAATGAAATTTTCAATATATTCATTTTTCATTACCTAGTTTTGAAGCATTATACCAAGAACGTTCAGCTCTTTAGCTAACCTTACATGATCCATCTTTAATAAAATTCTAACTTTGTCTTTAGAATTATCTGGATTGTTTATGAGGCAGAGTATGCTTACTTGAAACACATGACACGATTTCGGTGGTGGGTTAATAAAAATAAAGATATAGGACCTCCCAATTTTCTCAGTGTCCAAATTAAGACCAATGATTTTAGATTCAGCGAAGGATGAAGTCAACATTCACTTATTTCATGATCGTCCTTGTATAGACTATATCTTTTATTAAAGAGGGTAATAACAGAAAGGGCAGTGACACATGTTAAGCAAATATTGATTGGAGACTGTTATTTAAAGGAGCTAACTCGCTAATATTTGGTACCTAGAAATTGACAAAAATGGGTCGCAACGCATATAATGATGTAATATGAATGTATATAAACTGATTTACATTCAATCGTTTCTGTATTTACTGTAATTTGTAATCAGTTATGTTCGGCGAAATACGCCAGAAGTCTCATGTGAATGGCAATCTTTAGCGTCTGTTTTTTCCAGTCTACACCGATGGTATTTATTGCGTATGCTCTCCAGATAAGAATATAGCGTCACCATTTGACATGACTTGTGGAATATGTCTAGCCCTGTTCTTTGAGTCCCGTGTTCCAAATGGCGCTGAAATGCATTATGGTACACGATTCGTGTACCAATGATAAAATGTTTATTTTGTCTTGAATATTGGATATCAGAAGCCCGTCCTTTCCCTGTAAGATCACAAGACCAATGTTGATTTGAATTGACAACTAATTCGTGTTTTCAATGTCGAAGATTTTTGATGATATTGAGTTAGAGACTTAGCTACTTTAATAGTAAGTGTAGGGGGGCGCATCACACCACACACAATTACTCAAAACAAACCTATTGGAAGGACACAATATACACAAACACCTCAAACAAACTGGGGGCTATTTTAAATATTAATCTATAGAAGAATAAAAAAACGAAACAAAATGATGGTTTGTTTATCCTTTGGTCTGGATGTTACCGGATACAAATCAATCATATTTTTAATGTTGACAGTTGCATTTAAAAGGTGGCGCCAAGAAATCAACACAAGTAAATGTATGCGTTAAATGGTCATTACTTATGTTTTAGGATTGATCGATATGATTGTTTGACCAATGTCTTAATGAGGCTATATTTGATCTTGCTATACCTTTATTTACACAAAAGGGTTCGCGATTGTTTCTTGTTGGTGATTAGTAAAAGTGTTTTTGTCAAAATTTAAATTATCCATAATTGTATCAATTTGTTATGAAATCATTCAATTTTCGATAAGAGAGAGAGAGAGAGAAATGGGGTTTAACGTCCACTCGACACAGACTAGGTCATTTCTGGACTAACACATGGTTATATTTTATTTCAATAATTCGCTTGCGCGTATGGGTCTTTAGCAGTGGGAGGAAACCGGAGAACCCGGAAAACCCCACGAGGTTGGACAGGCGACCCTACTCCTTGTCACGTACAACCGGGGATTCGAAACCACGCCAGTTGATTCAACGACAGGCCCTATGATAGAATACGCACGTGCTAACCATTCGGCCATCCAACCCCCCTGTTTTCGATAAGATGTGTAGAATATGCATATCTATATCATACCTTTCCTTGTCGTTCACTTATTGCAATACTTTGGGCGCTATTGACCAATTACCCGTTCTTGTTGGTAATTAAAGATACATTATGGGAGATTAGATGAAGAGCTGGAAGTTCTCACTATAATAATAGTTAAAAACTAGATAATGTGAAGGGGATTTTCTGAAAATTTCAGTCAAATTGATCCACTCTGAACCGAGATTTTAGCGATTGAATTTTCGGCCTAGCCTCGATCATCATTACTAAAGTCGATACGATTAAAATGGAAGTCGAACAGCAAATCGGAACCTAATCCAATAAATATCACAGGCTAGCGATGACATCGAGAGTTGATTATGGTCTGGATAAGTTAATTAATGTCTAATTAAAAACTTAGATAACATTACAAGCCTAAAGAAAAACCTGCAATAGACAGATTTAGCTCTTGCATAATGTATGTTTAATTGGACCGTTTTTGTCAAAATTTCAATTATCCATAATTTTATCATTTTTTTCAAGAAATCATTTCAATTATAACATATGTGTCCTTGTCGACCACCTTTCGTTAGGTGCTTTTGACAAAAGAAATGCTTGTGTAAAGATGTTGTTAAAGATATTCACTTTGTGTCATAAACATGTTCCTTGTGGCTGAAGCCAAAGATCACGGTTAATTTATTGATTTATCGATTTATCGATTATGATCAGTACTAGATGGGTAATAACCTTCTAATCAGATTCATGATCGTGAATTATTGATAATGTTTTATTTATTTTTGGCGTCGCTACGCACATGCTACACATATTTTGTTGACCGTAACAGTCGATACGCTTACGTCAACATTGTAATTTTCAATATCTAAGGTTTGCAATGATAATATCAAAATTCCGAATAAGAATAATGTAATAAACCGAATCCACCACGCCAAACGCAAATAACATCAAAGGGAAACATCATTCATTTAATTCCAATGGTATAACGCGGCGGTTGGAGATGGGCAATGACAAATTTACTACAAACAATATGTATTGTATTATCATAAATCGCATATAAAATTATTTATTGTTTATTTATATACAGCATTTGAAAGAGATCCAGGCAAGAATGGTACCTTACTCCACTTTTACAGTTCATATACTAGCCTCTACTAACTAATTTCTTTTTTTGTCTTTTTTTTTTTACTAATTAACATTATTCAATAATATTTAATTGGATATTTACATTGATATCTACGATACACAATTTTATACAGGCATGTTACTGTACACGTATTCTTGCATAACAGTTGTGTGGTTTACTTCAGTTTAAACTTATTTTATTGCATCAACATTATATTGTACAATACACGGGGATTAGACAAAAGTTGCATTAACTTATAAACGTCTCCTCCTTGGGTACATAATTATCTAAATTATATTTTTATGTTATTACTAATTTATTAATATACCAAGCATGTTCTAGCATAGACATTAACATTTAAATCATATTTAAATATCAATCCGGAAATATATTATGAATTGAATTTATTGTTTAACTGTTATATTTATGAATGAATGGGTTTGGATATAAACTAATTTTATTGGTCACTCATTGACTGCGGCCAATAATTAGCATTTCTGATCTAGTATAATATCTTGAGAATGGAAATGAAATGGGGTTTAACGTCTTTTCTGGACCGGTATATTGAAGACGTGTTGGAAAAAAGGAATACAAAAATATTTTATTTCAATTTCAGTTAAATTTGATGTTGGTAATATTGTCCATGCTGATGAAGAAACTATACTCAAAGTGCTTCGGGTAAGTCTTGAGATATATTTACCTAAATAGGGTTGGGGTCGCTTTCGAGCGCAAATCGTTAAAGGACAATATTGGTGCCAGTCATTATCACATATGTGATAGAACTGGTTAAAACATTCCAAATATCATTTTATCACAGAGATCATTGCTACGATAGAGGCGTAATCAATGCTTCAACAATCGGTAATGACGAACTAAAATGGAAAACACGAGTTATCCCTCTATATAACTGACTGAAGTGACGAGTGATAACAGATACATGGGCGAATTTCTGCTCACAAATAATTCCTTCGAAGACTAAAAGTTGTTATATGAGACTGTAAGAGTATATCTGACAATTTAAAAAAGTAATTGAATGTCATTAGATATGAGAACACGAATAAAATAGAAACAGTCCGTACATTCACGCGTGTTTATTCATTCTATCCTTATAAAAACATGGTAATGCACGGACTTTTTCTATTTTTCTTTCATGTTCTCTTACCTAGTGACAGTCAATTTTTTTTTAATTGTCAGATATCCTTTCACAGTCTCACGCAACAACTTTTGGTCTTCGAAGGAATTATTAGTGGTCAGAAATTCGCACATGTACCTGTTATCACCCGTCACTTCAATCAGTTATATAGAGGAATAACATGTGTTTTCCTTTTGCGTTCGTCACTTCCGATTGTTGAAACATTGATTCCACATCTATCGTAGCAATGATCTCTGTGATGAAATAATATTTGGAACGTGTTTAACCAGTTCTGTCACATATATTATATTGACTGGCACGAATATTGTCCTTTAATGGATAATTATACTATTTTTCAGATTGATATTTCTGCGCAAAAGTGACATCATTAAAATTACAACTAATAAGTATATGTTTAGCTAAAATAGGTCGAAGGTAGGGTTGGGATGACCTAGTGGTCTAGAGTGTCGCGCTTCATGCTCTAGCTGGTCGGCCACCTTGGCGGTCGTAGTCTCGATCTCCGATGTGAGCGTATGTGGCTTTGAGATGGGTACCTTCTCAACCTCGTGGGTTTTCTCCGGGTACTCCGATTGCCTCCCACAGGAAAGATCTCTGCGTGTGCGCTAAGATGATAAAAATAAAAAAAATATGACAACTTATCTGCGATATCAACCTCGGTTTGCATGCATCCATGTAATTTGTGGAGTTAATTTCATAAGGGAACCACAACGATATAACCAGAGCATATTTGATATTACAAATACAGAAAATACCGTATTATCTATAGCAAACTGATAGTTTTAGTTTTCTTTTATACAGAGGATGGGTAGTAAAGCAAACCTTAGTGAAGAAGATGAAGCTAAGATTGCTGCTAATATCATTGCTAAGAATATGTCACATGGTCCAGGCTGGTATAAAATGAACGCTATTCGACAATTAACTGGTAGTGCCAAACTTGAACCACAGGTCAATGAAAAACAAGGCGCGGTAAGTATTTTTATTTATGATATATCTAATGTTTACAAAGAAGACACCTGCTTACCTCCAGACAGAGGAACGGGTCCATGGTGTGATGCATGGCTGATCCCCACGCTTCCGGAATCATATTACTAGTACTTTCCAAAAGAGCAACGTGCCCAGGATATCATGTACCTCTCTTATTTTTAGGTACTTGAGAAAATATTGAGTTCTGAAGATTTCGGTTCAACTGGAACCTTAACCGAACTAACCCAGGGAGGAAGCTTAGGAGTTGTAGAATTCGCTGCTACCTCTACAGCTGTTTTAGAAAAGGAAGGTCGAGCTAAAGTTATTTTAATGAGACATGGAAATACAGAACATAGAGTTTTAGTCAGGTATGATAATATTAACATAATTAGTCAGGTATTAAAACATTAACATAGAGTTTTAGTCAGGTATGATAATATTAACATTAACTAGACAGATGACCTGCAAGAGGAACCACGACCCGGAAAGCCCGGTGAACCTCGGCCATTACCGGGAGCGAACCCGCGACCGCCAGGCTAGCGAGCCAGCGTCTTATTCATTTAGCACCCCCCCCCCCCCTATGTATTTTGAACATTATGCTCCATTGTTTTAGCAATATAAGTCATCGTATTCTTTATCTTTAGAATCGAAACAATTGATGGAACAGCTGAAGCTAACTCGGATTATGTACCTGTTAAAACAACGATTGTATTAGAGCCGGGTGAAACATCCAAACATATCGATATAGAGATTATCGATGACAATATTTGGGAACCAGATGAGGTTTTCTTTATTAAAGCTAGCGTAGAAACCGATCAACTAGCAGTGACTGGTACACGATCCATTTGTCAGATAACTATCTTAAACGACGATGGTATGTTTTTCTGTTTTTATAAATTCGCGTGGATGATCTTCCCGATCTTATAATCATCAAATCAACATGGTCTACATGTAAGTCGCCACAAAAACATGATCTACATAGTAAGTCGTCACAAAAACATGATCTAATATAAATCACTGCATGCATGTCGTTAACTGGTCAGCATATACACGAATGTAGTGCTATCAACATCATCTACATGAAAGTCGTCGTAATCTACAAGAAAATCGTCAACATGCCCTACATGTAAGTTGTGGAATCAACATGATGTACATGAAAGCCATTGCAGAATCGACACGATCTACATATATGACGTTATTGTGATCTTCTCACCATGCTCCCAGTGTCTGGCCATTATGATCTTATAGTCACTAAATAAATCTGTATTACGCTGCCAGGCCATCAGCATATTCGTCGTTATTAAGATTGATACATGGCCATTTTTATTTTCTGTAGTGACGCATGCATGCTTGGGGAGTTTGGGGCCGTTGGTATTTTCGCCTATTATTCAATGAATTCCGCCTGTTAAGGATCATTTAGTGCACTAGCAACGCCAACACGAAACCTGGATTGTTCAATTGAAATGTTGTTTAACGTTCTATTTTCCTGCTGCATTCGTGACGGACCTCGATTGGTATCACATACACTACGAGCAGAGGACCAGACATGGAAATGTACGACAATATTTTTGAAATGCTGAGCTGTTTGTTTTATCATTCTTCAGAGCCTGGAACGTTTGAGTTTGAGAAACCAAGTTATGTATTTAAAGAAAGTATTGGTCTTGCTTGTGTTCCTGTTATTAGATCACATGGTGCTGACGGTAGAGTCGTAGTAACATGGATGACAAAAAACATGACGGCTATCAATAACAGAGACTTCACAGGGGGTGAAGGTGAACTCATCTTTGAACATGGTGAAATGAGAAAAATGGTGGAAATTCAAATTCACGATGATCAGGTATATTTTATCTGATATAATATATTCCATCAATGTGGTTTTGTGTACGCTGTCTGATTTTTAAAAAAATGGACAACATAAGAGGCCTTGGCTACAGGAACTCTCGTTGAGTTGTAAAACAATTACACGTGTTTAATTATTTAACCTGAACTTACCTGGACTTTTTTCTTAAATACTGCTAGATGAGCGGAGCTATGTCCACCAATTACTCAGTGGTACTTTCATGCCATACACCATATATATGTCATAATAATCTGAACGAAATATTGAACTGGCTTAACTGTTTACTTACAAAGGCAACCTACATTTATGTTATCTCCTGATACCACGGCTTCAAAATTGTCAACATTCACCACAACCTGGTAGAAAATCTGAATCAGCTATTTTCATCAATATTATAGACCAAAAAGTAACTGGCGGTAGTTTTTTCTTGGATGTGCATAGAAGTTATATCTCATATCAACCTGTCATGACGTCATCATAGATTGACTGGTTCATATCAACCTATCATGACGTCATCTCAGGTTGATATTCGGTTCATATCAACCGCTGAGGACGTTGATGATCGAAATAATAAAAAGAAAACAGAAATAATTCTTTTGACAATTAAAAATTTGTATGCTACAGTTTGTAGCATTCAGCACCGAAATAGATGGCGTACTTATATCGACATATTTAGATCGGTTCTCCATGTCTAAGATATCTTTCAGAATTTTCTTTTCGTCCACATTTTGGGTACAGTCCACTTTACACAGTCGGTCAAATCCTTATCAGAACATACCGAAAACCTTCACGGTTCACTGTCAGAATTATCGGAAAAGATTGCCTTTTGATTCAAATTTTCTTTATCCTTTTGACTAGCAACTAGTAGATCCTCGTCGGAAATTGCATTCACATCTATTCCACCGTCAATCTGTTGGCTAAATAGGATTGATTATTTGTCTGATAACGTATTACTGTCCATATTGGTTTTGATTTCAATTCAAGTGAACCTATATTTACTCCAAAAATGGAGACAGTATAAACAGTTGAGTATAAACAATTGACATGCATTCACGCGATTAGTTCAGTAATTTTCGTTATTTGGCGGAAACTATCGAGCAATTATCCAAACATTGTTGACTTTTAATGGAAGAGACTATTTAATTTAAGACTATGACGTTGTATATGTCGAATATAAACCTTCTCTCCATCGGATTGATATGATAAAGAACACTTGGGCTTCGCCGGAGGAGTGTTCTCTATCATATCAACTTCGGGTAGGTTAAAATCCTATACATAACATTCGTGTCATGAAACTACAAAACAGTTAGTAGATCGAATCCAGATTTGTTTGTTGTAAAATGCGATTGCCTCCCTTTACAAATAAACCACTTCGTTCAATTTGATTAAAACACAGATCATATTTCGTTTCGTTTTTTATAGTTCCAAATTTCGCTTTACTTGTCACAATACTAGGGTCTGGAAGAGTTGTTATATGGACACAGCGGCGAAGGTTATTTTTAGTCTTGCTCTCCCTTTCCCTTTTCCCCTTTTGCATGGAAATTATGAGGCGGAAGTTTTTTTGGTCGTTACTTTAAGTTTGTGTATCTCAAGTTTTCCTTGGTGAACCTCATACGTGCTTTTGAGCAAGTGGTTGCCACATGTTGCTCCATCCGGGATAGAAAACGTTCTACCGAACAGAAATTTGGGAAAAAGTTAGAGCCGGTCTAAGAGACGAGAATTAACATTAAAGTGAGTGGGGAAATCATTGGTGATCTGTGGCCATATAAGCCGCGTTCTGGTTGATGTGTGCGATGCACAGAACTGTGGATAAACAACTAGAAACGTTAACGCTGGTTGATTAATCAATGTCTGGCGTCATAGGGTCAAAAGCCGCTCGCATGACCCCTGACACGACCTCCCACTACAATTGGTCAGATCTTTATGTAATGTATGCCATCGAAAGTATAAAAAAACGAAAGGAAATATAGATCTGTATTTTAATGAGATAGCCTTTCGTCGAGCAAGATTAAAATTGATTATATTTTCAGGTGTTTGAGAAAGATGAACATTTTGATCTGTCAATAATCAGAGTATCTGAAGGTGCACATATTGGTCAAGTCAAGAGAACAATTGTTACTATAATGAATGATGATGGTAAATAGAAAACTTTTGCCGTTATACCCAACAGCGATATACGGTTTCGTTCTGTACCTTTGGTTCGGTAACTTAATTTTTTATAATGAATATAAGAAAGTTTTGCGAGTAAGTGGTAGGCACATATTGTACAATACAGTATGGAATTGACATAATAGACCTTAAAATAAATAAGAACATTTTATAAAGTCACATCACATTGGACCAAGCCAAACGGCGTACCGAGCCCAACCGCGACACTGACAGTGTAGATTTCAGCCGCCCGTGTGATATATATTACCGTAGTTAAAACTATTAACTATAATTTGAAGACACTGAACATTTTTTATTGAATTGCTCCTTATGTTCAGATGCCCGAAATAAAACAATAAATAATTTATCGACTACTGTTTTATTGCACGGAATTGACGACGTGAAAAACTCACTCAATATTTTTAAAACTGTCCACTCGTTCTTCGAAATCACCAGACGGTTCCAGGGACAACTATAAACACTCATTGTAAATATATTTTCACTATAATCATACTTGCAGGTGTACATTGATTATCTATTTCTAAACTGTAAATACATGTATCTATATCTGACAGGGAGAGGGGTTTAATATAGGCTATGCCTGTTCCCCAATCCCTATTCAGATACAAATCTGAATAAAATATTGCTTGTAAAAAATTAAAAAAATCTAAAATAGACGGAGCGCAAACACAAATATAAATTTACATTTATCTTTTTTCAGCTTTTAAAGGGGTTGTTAGCCGCGTTGTGCATCTTACAAACGCTAATTTAGATGCCATGAGGTTAGAAACTGTGACATGGTCTCAACAGTTTGAAGAAGCTATGAATGTTAATGGTGGAGATATAGAGAATGCTGGAGGTTTTGATTATTTTATGCATTTTCTAACATTTGGTTGGAAGGTTTGTATTTTAAGTTAGTTTATTTCTTTGAGACATTTTTATAAATCGGGATGTCAATGGTGATTTGTGGCGTAAGACTAGATTAAATCCAAATCTATCTTAGGAGGTAAAATCAGAATAGATGTATCCTTTACTCCGATGGTATGAATTTATTAAGCTTTAAAGGACTGTAGAATTATTGACAAGTTATTTGTCGAGGTCTACGTATTTTTGATAATTACATACATTATATTTTACAGGTTATTTTTGCTATTGTTCCTCCTCCATCTATATGGGGTGGTTGGTTAGCATTTTTTACCTCCCTTGGATTGATTGGCGGATTGACGGCTATTGTTGGCGATTTGGCGGGAACATTCGGTTGTCTGGTAGGTTTAAAGGATGAAGTCACCTCAATCACATTTGTTGCCTTAGGAACTAGTTTACCAGATTTATTTGCAAGTAAACAAGCAGCCGTCAGAGAAAAATATGCTGATAATTCTATTGGCAACGTTACTGGAAGTAATTCTGTCAACGTTTTCCTTGGCCTGGGCTTACCATGGTTGATAGCTTCTATTTATTGGACATTAAAGGTAAGTTTTTAAAGATTCGCTATCTCATTACGGCCAGGGATCAAAATATAAGAATGATCTCAAAGCTGAGGAATCGACTTTACCACGCTAAAGGATCCAAGCCCCTTTGCTCTAAATCAAAATAAAGGGTTGAATTCTTTTGAAGTTTTGGTTATAAATATTAATCGGCACAATTGCAGACCCATTCTGTACAGTAGACTCTAGCAAACTTGGTGTCGTTATCCTAATGGAATGAAACCTGGTAGGTCAAGTCTACCATTGTAGTTCCATATGGTTTATTCGTGAGCTTTAAATGCATTTTGTCAAGACAAAACACTAGCGAAAGAGAACCCATTGTTCAACCTCTACCGACGCATCACCAGTAATTACAGTGTAGGCCTGATTAACATGGTTTTTTTTTTCAAACTTCTCCTTCAGGGTAAAACGTTTGCAGTGCCAGCAGGATCGTTGAGTTTTAGTGTGGTACTTTACACCGTGTGTGCTTTAATAGCTATTGCTCTTCTGATGGTCAGACGATATACATCTATATTTGGGCGTGCTGAACTAGGTGGTCCTAAAGTTACCAAATATGTGTGTGCTGTGTTTTTAATCTTCTTATGGATCTTCTACGTCATAATGTCATCATTACAAGTTTACGGTCACATAAAGGTGAATTTCTAAAGTACAGACTATGAGCTAAAATGCATATGAAATTGCATCATAAAGGAATAAAATAATTGTATATTTTTAAAGCTTCTGACTGAAATATCGGTAACCAAGCATACTAATTAATAAAAAAAACATTTTTATGAAAGACTTAATAGGTGATTAAACTGGCATTAGGTAAGATTAGATAAAGAGCTGACAGTTCTCGCTATAATAGTTTTTTAAAAAAGATAGATAATGAAAACAGAATATGCTGAAAATTCCAGTCAAACTGATTCACCCTGAACCGAGATATTAGCGATTCAATTTTAGGCTAGCCTCAGTCGTCATTACTAACGTTGGCACCATAAAAAACAAAGTTTTGATTATCCAATTTACGTTAAATTATCCATCACAAAATGTATTCAAATCCACTAAATATCGCGAGCTAACGATGGCATCGAGAATTGATTATGGTCTGGATAAGTTAATTTATGTCGAAGTAATCATTTAGATAACATTTCAGACCTAAAGAAAGACCTGCAATAAGAAAATTTTGCTTTTGCATATTGCATGTTTAACGCAATTCAAGTATTATTATAAGAAATAGCTTTAATTTTAAAAAACCTATCTATTATTTCTTTTATATTAATTATGTTATGTCTTCATCTTCACCTCATTTAGACCGAGTCATCAACTCTTAGTCTAAGAACCGCTCTTCTAGTATAATATAGTAAAAATATATTATTTGCGGTCGAATAGTGATTGGGGAACAGTTTACCCTATGTCACCCACCTAAATCCACATGTTTTCTGCGTCGGAAGTTGATCTATAGCCTGCATATAGCATTATGTAATTCGTTTACTTCCCGTCTTTTCTTTTTAAAAAAATACAACTAAAAGGTTCGGTACAAGCCTAATCATAGGCGTACGGGCTCGATGAATGTTAAGGGGCGGTGACGGTCGACTGCGAGAGGCGAAGGAGCGGGGCTTACCTTGTATGCACCCAATTGTAAGTTGAAAATTTAATCTTTTGCGTATTCTATAATAGAATCACTTTAAATATGAAATTCTTTAAATATGAAATTATTTGTATTATAATATTATCATAAAACATTTATTATTGTTATTCTTTGTTAATAAAGCTTATCTGTGATAAACACATCATATACTTATTATGTATGTATCTTTCATCAAAATTATCATTCTTTTATTAATTTAGAACAAAATGCAGTATTTGTGTTATTATATAACTTTTTACTGTATAAATTGTTGACCAATTCTTTAGTTGTTTCTTCAAAATATGTTCGATTGCTTATAAAGAGATGAGACATGTCGATAGGTATTTTCCTTCGATTATCTGTTCGATCCATAAAACTAGTTTTTATACTCCCACTTTTTATGTGCCAATTTGTGGGTCCAAATTATCGAAACGACTTTTAGTGGAGTTGCTTCCTGTGTAGCTAACACCCTTGTAAATGCACATCACAGGAATGGGCTAATAAATTTTGTATTCAACTTGACCAAGATCGTTTTGCTAGAGCGAAGTAAAAACTCCAATACTCTAGTGAAATTCAAAGTCGTGGTCTATCAGACGTGGAGTGATATAAAGGATAGTACAGGTTCATGCAGGTTATTCTGCCTCCGGGGTTATATTTCATTATCAACAATTTGCTTGTATGATTATAAAACATGTACATGAAATAATACGTAGTTATATTTTACAGAATAAACATAAAGATTATTTATACTCTCGAACAACTAATTGTCCACGTTTATAATAGTTGATTATCTAAGTTTACAATCTAACAAGTAATTACCTAGTCATTGATTTATGTATTAATTAAACAAAGGCAATGGCTTGGTAAACATGCCTTTGACACTGTAATTTGTCATGAGTTATAAAAAAGGATATCGGATTGTAACAGCTTGGTATAGTAATATTCTCCAATGTTATAAAAACAAATTCAAATAATACATTTAAAAGGGCCTGATGCGATCAGTATACAAATAATGTAAATCGGTACATGATGTAAATGGTTTAACGCGTGCACGTGAAACCATAAGCTCTGTTATTGAGTCAAATGACGTGGTTTCGATTCATCGCCTGTATGTGGCAAGGAGTAGAGTCTCTTGTCCAACCTCGTGGGATTTGTCTGGATCCCCCAGTGCGGTTCCCCTTACAGCTAAAGACGCGCAAGTGAATTATTGAAATAAAATTGAACAATCTCTCTCTATCGATCTCTCGATCTCGATCTCCCTCTCTTGGTATAGCCGATCTACAGAGACTGTGTATTTCTTTCGATTGTAGTCATTAAGGGTTTTTTGTCGATAATATATAAGTTTGTTTCCAATAGCAAAGGCATCAGCCAATTATCCCAGATCCAATACCCACAAAACATATCGCACTTTGACCAGGACTACAATGCAGATCCACTTACCTCTTTGTAGCGACGAATCAACATGAAGAAATGCCGGACATATACCTATCAAAATACTAAACTTAGATTGACCTTCTGCCGTAGATGTTATGAAATTGGTTGTTTGGAGTTCTTCAAACCCTCCCTGAATTATCACTTTAGTGTGTGGCTCAGTGACTAAGACCTTGGCTCACTAACCTGGGAGGTTACGTGTTCGATCCCATTCTCTGCGTTGGTCGAGAAAGTTATCGGGATTTTCTGGCCTAAGTCTCCCTTTATAGTTGTGCTGGACGTAGAGTCTGGCACGGAACAGCGTATACTGACTGAAAAGTTCTAAGCCTGAAAAGGATATATAAATTGGGTTGAAACAAACTGTTGCCACCAAGAGGTACAATCACTGAATGAATCATGATCATAAAAACTGCAACTGTAGTGTTATTACTGTCTTCGTACCAGATCATCTTGTGAACCTACCCATTGAAATCACCAAAATTAGCTATACATGTACAGGGCAGTCATCAAGTACCTGCAACTGAAATTACTAGCCCCAACACAGATAAATGATGATGATGTCCCTTCCTTTTCCACAGTAAGGAAGTGGGTTGTCGAATTTAAACGTGGCAGAGAGAGCACTCAAGGCCATCAACAGCAACCTTTCAAGAAAACATTACCCGGGTGCATGGCATGGTGATGGCTGATCGACGATTGACCACTCGACATATTGCTAGTGTTGTGGGCATCTTTCATAAGAGGGTTGAGCGCATTATCGCGATAGGAATGACATCACTTTCAACAAGAGTCATTTTCCTAATAATGACGTCGTATCAGCTGTGCACGACTTTTTAAAAATTTTAGGGTGGCTGAAGTAAATTTCTCCCTGACCAGTATCCAGACCTTGCAACGTCTGCTTAGAACTTTTCAGCCAGCCCTCGTAGCATGCACAAAATAGAACCCATGACCTTTGGAATTCCATTGCTGTCCGGGCAAAATTCCCCTCATAGCATACTGCATGGCGTATTTCTCTCTTTAGTATTCCGACTGGGGCAGAAAAGTAATGTGTATCATTTAATGACATGATTTGCGAGTGGAACTTTCAGGGAAAGGGTGATAAAATTCAGTAACTATATATCATGGCTCTTCATTACTATATAGTTGAGACTGGTTTAGCCTTAAAAGGTCTCGGAAATTCCAGTTCTATGATTATAGTAAAATAACCTCCGATGTCCTTTACACGTCATGTCGTCATTTTATATAAATATATCCATTTTATTTCAATATTCCTTGAAAATAATTTTTCCAAATATTCATTTCCTAGTATAGCTTACGAAATGTCATAGCTACTTATTGACTTTGTATGTGAAGCAATTATTGAAAAAGAGAATATTCGATCATTATTAGATGAATTGGAGACTGACGTTTCCAAAAAGGATTGAAACAGAAAAAGACAAAGCGATCTCACAAATGCTTGATGATTTGGATGTAAAGATAGAAAGACGGGAAAAACGAAACAAATATGGCTTATTCTTGTTTATTTATCATTAAAAATCGTAAAACAGAAACTTTGCCATTTACACAAAGACCCATTAATGGAATTCTATAAATTATTTGCATGTAATTGTAACCATGGTAACCTTCTGGAATTCAAGAATATATCTAGAGATAGTACAGAGCATAGGATTGGTTATGATGTGAATATTATATTGGCAACAAACAAGGCAGTAGTTTAAATGGTAAGTAAAATTTCCAAGTCCGGTGTCATCAAATTTATATTATAGTCCAATATAAAATGTTATTTTACAAATTTGAGTTGTATTCATTACACATGGGTGTCAATACATCTCTATTGTTGAAAACTTCGTTTTATATGGTGCTAAACTGTAAATGCATTTGTGGAGTTTTCGAAAGATATCTTTGCTCCCTTGTAACATAATTTGTAATAATTATTCAAATTCTATTAATCAATAGCCCATTTTTAGAAAATCGTTTCGCGAAAGTCTGATCGAATTTTTCTGCTGTGGAAAAACAAACAAACGAGAATTGTATAAATATAGATAGAATATATATATTTTTTTTCTTTAAAGAAAGATTATGTACGATCTAAATCTTCCTATTGCAGGCCTTTTCTCTGGTTTCAAATGTGTTATATTAAATAATATTTAGACATTTATGCACATGACAAGCCCAGAATCAACTCTCTAGTAAATCAGTAAATACCCCTTAACCATACCAATTGTTGAATCATACAAATTGATTTAGAAATTCTAACTATCTAAATTCCGTTACATGCAAATCCAATTGAAGACTATGCTTTGTTTATCTTTAGAGAACGTCACTCCCTGCAAACAAACTCGAGAAAACCTGGAGGTTATGTTTGTCTATGTTTTACTCACTGCACAGGCTGAATAATATGGATTTGTTTTATGGTATAAAAATGTTGCTGCTTTAATGGATAGTAGATATATTATTTCGGGGACGCTGCTTTTGTTCTAAATTTTCCCAGTTGATTAGATTCAAATTTCCAAATTTGTTCAGTACGTAATATCGTCTAGAATAGAAGTAAAAATTTAGACGATATCACGACATAATACATTTAGCACTTTGAATCTAATATACCACCATACTGTCCAGAAGTATTGCTCTTCATTTGACATGGCCATCTTGCTCAGAAATTTATTACATCTATGCATTTGTCTGAAAAAGTACATCACTCTATATTGATCATTATAAGTCCTTTATTCTAAATAATAATTCCATTAATCAATATTATGCCACGATTTGTGAAACACAGTCTTGGTTTTAAGAAACGTGTAGCATGACGCTACATATCAAAGTGTTTGACATGAAATGAATGATTTTTTTGCGTTGATGATTTTAATTGATTTCAAATGATCGTAAACTACAAGGCCTTGACGCTCTGTGAGCTCTATGGCTGAAGTTGACTCAACACATTATTGATTAAATATACATGCACACATTTTGAAAGACAAGACTTTAAGTAGATCAATGGTAGAAGGAATGTTGGCCGGTTATTCTGTGTCATTTTGATCTCTTAAGTGATTTTTGGAAGTATGGTAATGAAAGTGAGAGACAGACGACGCGCATGAGAGAGAGAGAGAGAGAGAGAGAAAGAGAGAGTAACGTCGACTCGACTGACATATGATTCAATTTTATTTCAATGCACGTAGGGGTCTTTAACAGTGGGAGAAAACCGGAGGACACGGAGAAAACCAATGAAGTTTGGCAGGCGACCCCACTCCTTAGCACAGTATAAGCTGGTATTCGAAATCACGCCTCTTGACTCAATGACAGATGTTAGACTATTCGACCGCCTAACCCCCTGGTGTCTTAATGGCGATTGTGTTCAATTGAACTTATAATAAATAGTTAATGACATCTATGAGTTTTCCACTATAAAGTCTTCGGTCATTTAAAAATTTATTTTAAAAGTGGACTGAAAAGTATCTATTATCCCCCGGACCGACAGAATAAAAAAATGTAATTCTACATAAAACGTGGGTGTTTAGAGTACACTTTACATTATGTATGTATTATATTTTACTAGGCAATCAAGAAGTAGAATTTCTCCTTTGATAATCTCTTAAATACCGGAATTACAGAACCTAGATCACGTTTTCTATATAAACTCCAAAGACAATAGTTTAATCGATTCTATAGTATACAAAGATTTGGAGTGTCTCCTAACAACCATCACGTACACTGTTTATAGCTTTACTTTACATACAAACACCCAAGTCTTGATTATCAAGACACTACTTATTTAACGATCTCATCAATTTGTTTTTTAAGAAGCCTTGGCCGTCATTAGTAAACACTAAATTATTGACACTATTCGATTGATACA